TCTATTTCTATCTTAGTTCAGTTACTGTTTTGCAATTTACAAATCAATTTCATTCAATTTGTAGCACCTTAGATGTATTTTCCTTGTTAAAAATTTGATTTTATAGATTTGCATTTGCATTCTGTTCTGTTTGTTTCACTTGGATTTTACAATTTTGCTTTTGTAATTTTACTTCAATTCTATTTTAATCTTAGGTTAGTTAACATTTTTGTCATTTTCAATTTGTTTGGATCATTTCTTAAGAATTTTCTAGATGTTTCTTTTATTGAAAGTTGAAAGTTAGTTGAAGTAGTTAGTTTTAGGTTATAGGTAGTTATTTCAGTTTATGCATTTTGGCTAATATTTTACTTGTTAGTTAATCTTGTTGTTTTCGATTATTAGATTTGCATTTCAATCATCTTAAGTTTAGTTTAATTCATTTTAGCTAATATTTTTGTTGAAATTTCCAAGTTGCTTATTTTACATATTGCTAGTTTACTTTTTACAAGAATTATGTTTTGTTTCATTGTTCTAATCTACTTTTCTAGTTAGCTTAGTCTTGTGTCAACTTTTCGATTGAGCCAACTTTAGAATGAATGTGGGGATAATAGGTGGTTAGGCTAAGAACTTCTTTAGTTAATCCTTGCAGGAACAATATCTAGACTTTCAGTCTCTATTATTACTTAAACAACTTGTGCGTATGCAGAAATAGTCCAAACTCCAGGATGAATCAAATTTTTTAATATATCTAGTGCCCAACTATATTTATTATAATGCTTAGTCTCTATGTACACAAATGCAACAGAAAATGCCATCTTAATAGAAGTCACACTAATAATCTCAAGTAATAGAATATAGTATTTGTTCGTTTTATAAGTGCAATCCATCATCAGTACACTTGGAAGGTATCAACAAATTTATACCAACAGAATGAGCCTAAAACAAGTCTCTCATACATTTAGTTGAGTCGTTAGTCCTATGCCACTCCATGTATTTATAATCGGTCAATTTTTTCATGCATTGTTTCATTTGTGATCTACCAGCTTTTTCAATATAACTATGTCTTTGACGTTCATTATATATAGTCTTTATAGTGCTAATAATATTTTCTCATTAGAGTTAATAGTATGTTTCTAAGTCTGACCATACTATTTGACATATCAGCCATAATTTTCTTTTTTTTTTTTTCTAATAATCGCCCTACAAATGAATGTCACTCTAATTGTCTGCTGATAGATAATTGTGAAACTCAACTACTTTCACATCCCATTCGTCATCCATTGTCAACTTAATCCCACGTAATTTAAATAGGCATCATAATTTTTTGTTCTCATTTCCTTCTATTGCATTTCTTCTACTTTGACCTTATCTTTAAATGCTTGTATTTTCTACTCTATTCACATACCAATCTTATTCTAAGTTTCTATGTTGGACCTCATAAATCGAAGTTTTTTTTTTTTTATCACAATCACAAAACCATTATCTTTTCCAACTTGTCTAACCCATGAAATTAAAACTTCTCTATAACAAAACACTTGCTCAACTTATTACTCTTTACGTCTATATAAAGTAACATGTTATGTCTCCATAGCAAACTAACTTAAAAGAAACTAATCTTACCTCTCCAATAATAAATGAAAAATTGCAATAATATCTAGTATCTAAATTTTCTAGTGATGGATTGCATGTTATCAATGTAGTTTCCAAATTAGTATGCATAACTTATTACTCTTCACGTCTATCCAAACTAACATGTTATGTCTCCATAACGAACTAACTTAAAAAAAAACTAATCTTACCTCTCCAATAGTAAATGCTAAACTACAATATTATCTAGTATCTAAATTTTCTAGTGATTGATTGCACTTTATTAGTGTGATTTCCAAATTAGTCTGCATATTGCAAGATGTTAAAAATTATAATAATACAATATTATTAAAAAAAATTTAGTGATTGCAAGAACCAATTTTGCATTTTTGAATTTGTATTATTGGTCAATCATTTTGAATTATTGGATATGCATTTCCTGTAATCAAATATGATATTCGAATATGCATATCTACCAATCATAAATGATATTGGAAATGCATATATGGTAATTCAATATGATTTTTGAATATGCATATTCGATAACATTGTTGTGTTTTTGGATATGCATATCCGTAAATCATATTGAATTATTGGATATGCATTTTTTGTAATATTAGACACATACCAAATATGCATATCTAGTAATACAATATTGATTCCAAATATCCATTTTCATAAGAATCAAATTTCTAGATGAAACTAAATTTTAAACAACTTAAAAGGTATTTTGGCAAATATGCCATTTCACTTGAAGGTATTTTTGTAAGTAAAATATTAGGTGTATAAAGCATATTTTGGGGCGTATTAAATTTGTCATTTACTAAAAATAAATGTATCGTTTCACTTAAGGATATTTTTATAATCAAAATATAGGGTGTGCAAAGCATATTTTGGGCTGTATTTAGAGCACTCATAAATTAATAAGAAGAAAATCGGTGTCTTTCTTCCTATTCCATTCCAGGTTGGGCAATTGTTTTTACCTAACCTTTGCCTTTTAGTCCGACAACCCATATTACTCTGTCTTTGCCTCTCACTTCGTTTTTTCTCATAGCAACTCTTTCTTTTCGCTGTAAATTGCCACATAACAACATCATGCTATTTCTCATTCTTCTTTATTGCCATTTTGCTTTTGTATAATTGGTTTGCTTGCTTTCTGCTCCTCACATCAATCTGATTCTTTGGGATGGTGATTCGTTGATGAGATATCTTATTAACAAAAGTGGATAGATTTTTGGTGATATTGAAGATTTTTGTTTTTTCACTGAAAAGAAATATATATTATTGATCAACAAGAAATTACTCAAGATTTGGATAAAAAATGTGTCCCAGAGGACCTGACCCTTACGGATACAATATTTTGAAGCACAATGGATAAGGGGGCCGGTCAACAAAAGAGTGGCATCTGTAGGACCGAAAACCGTCAGGGATTTGATGGTCTGAGTTTGGTCCAGAGGCCAGCTTGGATGATAGCCTGTGTCTATTAATCCATCCGTAAGCAAGATTGATCTTGTGGAGGAAAGAGCGTCTCCCACCAAAATCTCTGACTCACAGCTTGCTGCGATCGACCGAGATGGGCAGCCCTGCCAGAGCTTCAACCAGTAATGGAGGACCGATGTGTGGGGAGTGAAATCAGAGCCAGAGCTTCATTTCAGGCTTGGATGACACTCCTTTCTCGTTCTCCACGGTAAAGGAAGAAAATATTGAACAGGTGAAGTAAAGGAGGTGAAGTTTTCGGTGTGTTATTGTTTGGTTACTTCAAAGTAGATGCTGCTTTTGTCTTCATACACGCATGCATTAGCTCACATTTGCAAGCATTTACCTTGATGTTTCGCATCAAATGTTTAATAGTATTGACATGACAAAAAATAAGTATTCAAAAGAAAAACAGACTGTCCAACTTTTTGAAAGGGACAAGAGAAATTACCATTAAATTGCATGATAGTTTAAAAGTAGAGTGGATCCAACTTTGACGTTGGTTCATATGTCTTAATTTTGTAGGAAACATCTCATCAATATTTTTCCGTTGGATACTTTTTGTCGACTTGACTCCATCATTGATTATTTTTTTTGTCCAACTCTAGTTTAATTTATTCAACATAGCTGTTTATTTATAAATAAAGCAATTTTAATGGACAGGAGACTCAATTATTCTATGCCACCGAAAAGAAATAATAGAATCGCGCGACACACTGCGAAAATGAAACCATAATCGTTCGACTCACCCGTTAACCTTGCAGTATAGCACGATAATTGCATTGACTTCTTCTCTTTTATTACTTCTGCCAGTGACTTAAAGTCGGCCGTCGGCGGCTTGAAAATTCTTTTTGCTTTTCGAGTTTGTGTTAGCTATTTCACGTTAGAAACTAAAGTAAAAAAAATTAAGTCATAATTTATAGATAACTAGTAGAAAATCGTAGTCTGTGAATATAGTTTCATTCTTGCTACCCTTTTCTTTTAAAATTTTTTTTTTTTTTATTTCAGTCGTTCATAAAAAAATTTTAAATATACATAAACAATTTAGAATAACGTGACTTTTAAATATATATTTACTGAAATTTATTTCGATAAAAGATTTAAAGTAATTAAGATTAATATTGAAAATTTTTTTAAAAAATAAAATTAAAAACCAAAATGTTTTTATGTGGTATTGAGTGACTAATAATACATTGGGTAATACCCAAATAAGCCATTTAGCTTTATGCAAAAACGAAAATAAGTTATTAATCTATTATTGCATAAAATTAAAGTTATGAGCTTTTCTTTTTTCTTTTTTTTGAGATTCACCAGAGTTCGATAGTCATTTTGTACCCCAACTAATTTGGAATCAAGCCGGATCAGATTTTACACGGGAAACAAGCTCTCTCAGCACTTATTTTCTCTATTTATAAAATTCAAAATCTAGATTTTACTTTAAAAAAATCAAGCTTCTTAACCACTTCAATCAACAGGCGTTAGTGTGAACTTTTATATTATTATAGTTAGAAGCTTGAAGGTATAAAATATTCGATTTTGGTTAAAATTTTTTAGTTGGATAAGTTAAATGATAACTATTTTAGGGAATGCTATTTTAAAATTTTTGTCAATTAAACATTATTCATAAATTTGTAAGGTTTAATAGGTATAAATATAATAAAATAAAAGTTCATAACATTATTTTTATGCAACAAAAAATTAAGAATTTATTTACATTTTTAATAAAATTTGAAAGTTTATTTAGGTAAAAATAGATTGAACAATGTGATGTGATAATATTATATTAATTTCTTTTGTTATAGCAGGACGGTAAAACCCTAGTACAAGTAAAAAAAATAATATTATATTAATTAATGTAATTAGAAATAGAAAAAATTATTCATGGGTAGGATCGTCACTTGGCCATAAATATATGTGCTTGACATTGGCAGGAGAATAGAACAGCAGTTGGCCTTGAAAAGTAGGAACTTCAAGGTAGCATTGGCAACAACGATGCATCGCAGATCATCAAAGAGAAGCGATCAGGTATTTTAATTTGAGGTCATTGTTATCCTCATCGTTATTCTTTACATATATATATAATATTAATTTATATTACGATGACCAAATGCAATTATTTTGAGGAACCATTGCTTTATTTTGAAGCAAATCGCCTTGAAAGTAGAAGTGTTCATAGTAGGAAGACTCTCTCTCTCTCTCCCTCCCTCTACATATGAAAACTATCGGAATTAATTGCACATTTGGTAAATAACCATATTCTAATGTTTGATTTGGTAACTAAAGTTCTAAAATGTGTGATTAGGCATTTGAATTTTTTTTGTGTTTATCTGTTTGCATGTTGGTTTATTTTTGTTAATTAAATGGGTGATGCGTTCAAAAAAACGAACTTATAAGAACACAACGTGTATATAAACGAGCCATTTATTTATTTTTTATTCTTAATTCTTTCAAATTTTTTATTTTAATATTAAAAAATAAAGGAAATAGAAAAGTGAAAAACTAAAAAAAATGCCATGATTTTTTTCAATACATGCCACGATCTTATAGGTTTTTTTTAACACGTGATCCATCTAACTAACAGACTTAAGGTGTCTGATAAAACCAAAAAGTTTTTAATGTGTTTGATAATTTATTTTTTGAAAATTTTAATGTAAGATTTTCAATGAAAATTTTAATTTCTGTAAATTTTTTTCTTATCTCAAAGATGTTATCTTGTATAGAAAAATATTATAAATGTTAGCAAAGGAACGTGAATATACTTTTTAGGTATACTTGTTTTTAGGTCGAGCTACCTGTCAAGCCTGAAAATTTATTCAATTTTTAAGAAAATTGGAATAAAAATTTAAAATTCATTAAATTGGTTAGAGCATAATTTTTAAAACATTTAAAATTTGGAGCTGAACCTTAAGCAAAAGAATTATAGCTCGAGCCTGGTTCGATTTGAGCCAAATAAAATATATATCATTAAAATATTATAATAATATAAGTATGTATATTTGAATTTTTATTTTTATATTTTTTTTAAAAAAATTTTTTTTAATTTTTATTATATAAATTAGGATTATCTGATTGGTTTGAAATTTATTTTTTTCAATTTAAATTAGACTTAAAAAATTTTTTAGACTCAAAATATCAACCCAAGTAAATCTGAACAAATATATAAATTATTAATACTGTATATGAACTTAGCCCAACCATGAATCCCTCTACTTTTAGGAGAATCAAAAAAAAAAAAAGTTGAACATTAATTCAAATTGAAATAAAGGAAGTGTAAAATTGTGGCGAAATTTCTTAGTAACTATTGTATAAGTGATTATATTCCACTTATAAAATAATATATAAACAACTATTTATTACCAACTCCCCAAATCAATCACCATCGCCCAAGTAATATTTGGTACTTAAACCACCAAGAATTGGAATTTTAAGTACGAGTTGCTAATAGTAAATGTCTTGAACCCTTATATGGGTTTAATCAATATTCATTCCCTCTCGCTCAAATATTTGATTTGCTCATCAAAGTTGCATATTATGTGATCACAGCAATTATCAGGTTTACTGAGAAAAAAAAAAAAAAAACAGCAATTATCAGGTTCAGTGCGAGCCAAAGGGTAAGGTGTGAAGTCGTATATATTCATCCTTACATGCCTTTGTGTTATCTCATTTTAGAATTTGATAAAATTTGTAAAATTATTTACAAATGAAAAGATTTGTATCCCTGCGAAATATTTTTGTGGGCAAAAGAGAAGCAAATAGTACTTGGTATGTTGAGTTGGATGACTGCTATTCGTACCAAAGCAACTCTCGACCACCAAAATTGTGGAAGCTACGTGCTATACAATATAAGCCAAGCATGAATGGTAAAAGCTACTTCTTGAAATTGCGAGAGTTATCTTTAGAATTCCAGGTAGTTTAATGTGATCTTAATTTTGTGGTCATGCGTTTGAGATTACAAGTATGTAAAGGAGAATGTGCTCTTTCCTAATAGCGAGATAGGTCGGGTTCAGTTGAGGTATATACAAAGAATATATTTTATTATTTATATTTATATATTGATATTATAATAATCAATTTATTTATTTATTTAAATATTAACTTAATAATTATATGCATTTATGCATTCATAAGTTATAATTTACACTAAAAAAATAGTTTTTATGCGAAATAAATTTTGAATCAAGTCAAATAAGGGTTATGCATTTTTTTAGTTGAGATTAGTAGTTAAAAAGAGTAAACTAATGTTTGGTTGCATCGGAGATCGACATCAAAGAGTCTGGTCAGACAAAATCCGCCTGCCGAGCATCGTTATCATCTCTAATAAATATGTGGAAAGTTGTAGCCATAATTGAAAACTTCATTTAGTGGAGAAAACAGCGATTTTTACTAAGATAAATCAAACAATCCTTGTACGTTGAATTATAAGAATATTCCTACAAAGTCACACCATGTATAATAATACACTAAAATCTTTTCAATGAAGTGAATTCATACCAAAGTCTCTTGCACATTAGTGCTCTGGACTTCAAAATAAATTGTTTTACTCTTACAATAAATTTTATTTTTGTTGCAGAAGAAAAGAAGGTTGAGAATCCTAAACTCTCGCATGAAAAGGTTAAGAGTGGAGATGGAAGAAATAAGTGAAGAGCAAAAACAGATAAAAGATGGCCAAAAACAAGTAAGAGAAAAGTTTCAAGCAATTGAGTTGGAATGCGAGCAACTTCGGAAGGAGACTATCCTCGTAATACAACAAAGTGTCAGCACCCAAATCCGGCTAGCTCTTATGTTCCAAATCCTGAAAGCTAGAGAAAGCCATGACTTTTCCAAAGCGTCACAACTCACTTGTGCTCTCCGGTCGTTTTCTTCACAATTTCATTTAAACTACTAAATCCTACTTAATTTCTTCCTATAAAATTAACTATGTATTTTTTTCCTTTTTGATCTTGTGCTAATGAAATCTTTCCTTTTTTTCCTTTTACTGCAGTGAACTGGTAGCGAAAGAGGATCAGCAAAGGAAGCTTTGATGGCCATTGATGAGGCATTCTCTCGCAAATTAATAAATGCATGGTGGATTACAGTCCATTCTACTATAATTGATTAGTTTATGGTTTTTTTTTTTTTTTTCATTTGAAGAAGAAGAATAATTCGGAACCTCTTCTTTGAGTAGAGGGATTATCTACTAATCATTAATCTCAAATGCTTATGCAGATCAGTGTTAAGTTTAGGCATGTTCTCTAAGAAGATGCCTTCCAATGTTTCTCGTCCTTTGTTTGGGATTGATGATGCCTATCTCTCGTTCTTGGGTTTTCTTTACTATTTGTTTGTGTTTGGTATCTCGTGGGTTATTAGGGTCTATTAAATTTGAGACTTTTAATTGCTTGTACTGTCAACCTGCTAAACAACCAGCTTTGTCAACTTCTGTGTGTTTTAATAAAACATTTGGGCTATTCGGGTTGAGCAATACCGTACCCAAATTCTTAATTTTTAAGGTGAAGTTAATTTCATTTCAAGTTATTAATGTTTAAATCGTTTTAAATTTGGGTGAAATTAGATTTATGTTTGGCAGGTGCAAATTATTAATTTTCTTATGTTAATTTTTTTAATAAATCAGATTGTGTTGACTTTAAATTCGGATATATTATGACAAATTACATATAACTCCTCAAGGTTTGGCCCCAATTGTGTAGAAGGACATTAGATTGATAAAACAACATCCAACTCCAAAGTAAATTATGTTAGGATAGCTGTTAAAATGATAGCCAGGCATTATGAATACATGGATTGATAGCCAACGTGCTCTTCTGTTAAAACAATAGAGGATAGAAGAGTGCTATGAATTAATTTAACAAAGAGTTAATATTTGATACATTGTAAGTGTAAATTTTTAATTATACAAGTGGGTTAAGAGATTGATATATATCTTAATTTTTAATTAATTTCTTTTAATATACACATTAAGGTAGTTTTTGATATTATTTTCAAGTTACTATAATAACGTAATCACCGAAGTGATCTTATTATCAAAGTAATCTTATCAATCATTATTTGAAATTATTTTGTTTGATTAATATTTATTAATCCATGAGAATTAAATATCATTGTATTTGATATTACTAAAAATAAAATATTATTTTGTTTAAAAGTACGAAATAACCATGAATATTATAATAGTTACATAATTTAATGATTTTAATATTAATAAAAATAATAATTTATAAGTATAATAATATTTTGTTTATTTTATAATAAAGTATGATTAAATTATTAAATTAATAAATATGTTTGTTTATTAGGTAAACCAAGTTTTATAATATAAATTATGTAAAAAACATTTGAATTAGAAAATAAAAATAATCTATTAAAATCATAATAAAAAAAAAAGATTATATTATATTATAAAACATTAAAAAAAGTAAAAAAAAATACACAAATTAATTTTGAATTTGTTACAAATATTAATTTGAAAATATAAAAAAATTATAATATAAAATAATTGCAATTTCAAGAAAAAGCAAGTTTTTAATTAAAAAATATTAAATTGATAATATTAAATATTCTTAATTTTACATATCACTTCACCTTGGTAATTAATTTAACAAAAGTGGTTCTCATGTTAAAAAACTTGGTTTTAACACAAATGAATCAAAGAACATATGAAGTGATGAATCCTATATATAGATAATCTATGTGATATCTCTTAAGTTAAATTATAGTTGCTTTATTTCCATAAGTTGAAATGCCTTTTTCTTCTTACCAAGGCCATCGATCTTATGAAAGAAAATCCATCATGATGTTGAATGAAACCAGCCTCAATCTTTTTTATCTCTTTTAATTTAGGATTTAAAAAAAAAAAAAAAGATAAGAACAATCCCTATATAATTATGTAGAATTTGTTGGATTTAGTGATGTAGTTCGTCAATGGATAATATCAATGACCCAAATCTCAGAAATGGAAATATGAGAAGAAGAATGACAATAACTATCAAAAGAGAAAGAGAGACCGAAAATGAAGAAGACAGAACTTAGGTTAGGAATATTTTGCAATTCCATTCACACCTCCCAATCATTTGCAACATTCCTTATGTACCGATAATAATAGACTATTAAGGAAACAACAATATTACCCTTTATAAGTTGACATTAACAGTCAAGGCCTAGTTAACACTTGCATTGGAAAAACAAAACAATAGTAAAAGAAAATAGAGTAAACTTCAGAAATATACCTTGTAGCTAATAACAGTATGTGTCATAACATATAGATCCGAAAATCTATAGCTAGATTTAACAAAATGAATGGAGTCACCACCAATTTTTTATTAGGTGTGATTGGTCACCTAGGTAATCTATCCTTTTAAGGAACTCCTAAGCTTAACTAAAGATCACTAAAAGAATAGGTTCGGATCTACTAACCAGAACAGGATTTGAGAGTTCGGTTACATATGAGGAAGGTTATAGCACCCCCACATGCCCATCCAAGGGATGATACCATATTATTTCAAATTTATCCTAAGGTTTCAAATATTAGAAACAATTTTTAAGATTCTCCATCAATCTGGTAGAACTCTTAAAAAATACTTCCTCACCTCAAGAGTATTCAAGAATCATATTTGATTTCTTGAAGAGGCTCTGTCTTCGGAAAAAGATTTACTTATTATTATCAATTTTCATCGAAAATAAATCTAATTATTCCATTATTTGGGCAAAATTAGAAATATTTTCTCTTTTGAATTTCTAAAATTTTCATCATTTGGGCCTATTTAGAAATTTTTTTTTTCTTCTTGGAAAGAAAATAATATGACAATTACTTTTATTGAAATTTTATCTAAATTATTCCACCATTTGGGTCACATTTAGAGAAAATTTCACACCTAGAGATTTATTAAAAATTTACCATTTGAAATTTCAAAGAATCTCATCTTTAGATAATTATCAAATATTTTCAATCCAAATTTTTATTTGGAAAAGAATACAATTACTTGTATTGAAATTTCATCTAAATCATTTCACCATTTGGGCCAAATTTAGAGAAAATTTCTCACCTAGAAATTTCTTAAAAATTTACCATTTGAAATTTCTAAGAATCTCATCCTTGGGTAATTTGTATTTAATTCCAAAAATTTTATATTTTTATGCTTTTTATGTTTTTAATTTATTTTTGTTTGAAAATATATATTAATTATTGTTATTGAAATTTTATCTATATTATTCCACCATTTGAGACAAATCTAGACAAATTTCTCACCTAGGAATTTTATAAAAATTTTCATTTGAAATTTTTATAAATTTCATCATTAGATAATTAATATTTATTCCCAAAATTTTTATTTTTATTATTTTATTTTATTTTGATAAAAAAAAGTAAAACAAATAAATAAAATAATATAAATAAATAAATACCAAAAATTTGAAAACGGCTCGGCTCAGGCTTGGGATATGGCTCCGCTCAAGACCAAAAATCACGGCTCAGATGCGCGGCTCGGGATCTCGACTCGACTTGGCTGAAACCCAGGTAGAGAAACGGGTCACTAGTTCAGGTGCACTACGGGTCGAGTCAGATCTTGGCAAAATGCGTGGATCTGTGGGTTTACTAACGCAAAAATGATGTCATTTTGAGGATGGTATATAAGGCTAAAGATCGATTTTTTTTTTCAGAATTCCCTTTTCCTCTTCTCTTTCTTCCCTTCTTTTCTCCTTCTTCTCTCTAAACGATTTCAAATTTCAGTTGAATTCCTATCGAAATCTAGAAAAAACCACCGAAAACTACAAATCTGACCGAAAAACTCGTCAAAAAATTCAAAACTCTTTAAAAAATTTCATCGAATTTTGGCAAATTTCCAGAAATTTTCCAAAAAAAAAAACTCCAAAAATTCAAGAAAAAAGCTTTTAAAAATCCTATATTGCCTCTAAACACTTTTTGCTTATGTTTCACCTCTTTGTTTTCTTTTTTTCTCTCTGATTCCTTTGTTTTTCTTATGTGTGATTTATGGACCTATTTATAAGGATTGATCAGAAGAGTTTCTGATCAATCTCAACTCCTTCTGGGATTTGGATTCAATTTTTTAATCTAATCTCAACTCTGTCAATTCTCAAATCACAGTCAAATTCATTCCAATTTTTTTATCCCAATCCTAATCTTAACCGAAAATTAATCAAAATAAATAAATAAATAAATAAGATAAATATATTAATAAATAACAAAAAATAATTAGATAAATAAAAGAAATAGATAAATAACAATAATAAAAAATAAAAGCAGATAAATAATAAAAATATTAATAGATAAAAAAATAATAAAAATAAATATAAATATATATATTAATAAATAGACAAATAATAAAAATAAAAATAAAAGCCAATTGGGCCAGCTAATTGGATCCTGAATCGGACCCAATAGGCTTAAGCCCAAACCCTATTGGACTAGGCACAATGGCCTTAGGCCCGAACCAAATAAGGTGTCTACAGCTGTCCCTTTTTGCACATTTTTTGTGAAATAGGAATTATGCAAAGATGTAGACACTCATTCAAGACTCAACTTAACATTTTTTTGCCCTTTTTTTTTTTATCAAAACTCCTCTAAGTAAAGGCTCTACAACTTTGAAAAAATAAACAAAGCTCCTTTAAACAGAGGCTCCATGACCTTGAAAATAAATAGCTCCCCTAATCAGAGGCTTAACGACTTTGAAAAATAAATGGCTCCTCTAATCATAGGCTCAACGACTTTTGAAAATAAATAAATTCTCTAAGCAAAAGCACCATGACTTAAAAAATAAATGCTCCTCTAAACAGAGGCACCACAACTTTGAAAAGTAAATTGCTCATCTAAATAGAGGCACCACGACTTGAAAAATAAAATGCTCCTCTAAACAGAGGCACCACGACTTTGGAAAATAAATGGCTCCTCTAAACAGAGGCAACAGAACTTTGAAAAAAAATAAATTGCTCCTTAACAATCATGTCCAAATGAGTTATAGATTGTGACTGAAGGAATTTTGTAATGGGAACTCAAGGATTCACAATTTGAGTTCAACAGTCAGAGGTTCAGATTCGTAAGAATCTTTCAACTTCGTAAGAATTTATCAAAATTTGATTGTCAAAATTTCAGTTTCATTCAAATTTGTAATATCTCGAGATTTGCATTTGCAATTTGTAAGACTCGCATCCAACATTTAAAGATCCTTATTTGAATTTTGGAGATTCACATCCAAAAGTTCAAGGCTTTTCAAAGGTTCTCATTTGGCAAACTTGGAATTCATATCCAAAAATATAAAGCTTTTCATTTGAATTTTGAAGATTCACATCCAAAAATTTAAAGCTTCTCATTTGAGTTCAAAGGCTCACATGCAATAAAACTTAGAATTTCACATCTAAGTTCAAAGGTTCTCATTTAAAACATTAGAAATTCATATCCAAAAAGTTGAAGCTTTGTATTTTGGAGATTCACATCCAAAGGTTCAAAAC